GCGTAAAGATAAGAATTGTTTTTTAAACCTTGGTTTGATTTTGTTAAATGATTTTTATAAAATTCAATTGATGTACAATGTAGGAAGTTTCTAATTGTTGCAATTAAGGTTTAGAAAGTTATAATCTTTGTGAGGTATAGGTATTTTAACTTTTTATGCCGACGTACACGACTTTTCGGGGGTATATAGTTTTTGCCGCGTCCGTCCGTCTGTCTAGCTCTCTACATCTGTTTTTCCGCAAAAACTTTAACGTTGCCCATAACATTTGATGTAGTGGAGCTATGACGTTCATATTTTACATGTTTATTCCTTGCGACAATACCTTTCTTTGGGTACCACCAAATTTGTTTTGACCTTGGTGTTAGACCCACTTAACATAAAAATTCCAAAGAAATTTACTTTGGCTATATCTTTTGAACAGTAGATACCAGGACTTTTATACTTATTGTATATATTCTTTGTGCTAAGACCTTTCTTTGGATACCAATTACTTTGACCTTTTGACCCTGATCTTTTAGATGTCCGTACTAATGAAAGTTATTTAACCTTTGCCATAACTTTTGAACAGTAAGGGCTGGTGCTTTTATACTTCACATATGAAATCCTTGTTAAAAATCCCTTTATTGGATACCATAAACTTTGACCTTTTGGCCTTGGAGTATGACCTTGAAAATAACTTTTAAAGAGTTAGGACTACCGCTTCCATGCTTTACATATTTAATCCTTGTAACAAAACCTTTCATTTGATATCAAGAATTCTTTGACCTTGGAGTTAAACCAACCTTTTAAAATGTTTAACCTTGACCATAACTTTTAGAGGGTTAGTGCTAAGGCTACCATACTCCACAAAAGTAATGCTTGTGGTAAAAGCTTCATTGGATATCAAGTACCTTGACCTTGAAAATTTTCGTACTTTAACCTTGGCCTATTTCATGTTTCACAATTGTATTTAGGTATACCAATATATTGAATTTGCATTAAGAAAAGTTTGATCTTCGCTATGTTGCCATACGGGACATCAGTGTTTCACAAACAAATTATTCAACTTTCGTCAAAATTAAAACATAAAAAAATAAATAAAAATTGAAATAAAAATCACAAGTAAAAGAGAAATGTAAGAAAAGTCTCGTAATTGATTGAATATTTATGATTCACCATTTACATGGCTACTTTAATCATAACTGTTGCATCGAGAAGAGAGAGAGCAATAAATTTTATCCACTATTTGATTAATTCTTCGATGATTCTAAATAAACAGATATGGACTGATTGGGACACAGCAAAAATTCGAATTATGATTTTTTTAAAGAGGTTCCAATACGCAGGAATAGTCCTATAAAGTTCAAGTAGTGCACATATGTGTCCGTCAGTCTGTTTTTCAAAAAAACTTTAATCATGTCCATAAAACTTTTGATTGGTTGGAGCTATGGCATTCATACTTCACATATATATTTGTGTCGAGAGCTTTCTTTTGTACCAAAATATTTGATTGATTGATTGTTTATTGTTTATCGTCCCTCTCGAGAATTTTTCACTCATATGGAGACGTCACCGTATGCCGTTGAAAGGCTTCAAATTTTGATCTTTACTCGGCACTCAAGGCCATTGAGAAGTGAGGGATCTTTATCGTGCCAACACCTGTTATGTTTTCTGAATGCAAAGATCCAGTGAAATGACGACAAGACAACGAGCACGCTTTTTGACTCTCTATTCTGTAGAACGGAAATCACAAAAGTGGCGCCTTGCGCATACTCAAACATAGTGTATGTAAAATCAAACAATCAAAGGGAAATAACTCTTATCACACAATTAGCAAGATAATTTAACATTTCCCGTTTTAACAAAAAAATCAAAGTCACTTGATTCATGTACAATCATCATACTACATTTAACACTGTCAAATTGAAAATCATAAGTGTCCATATCTGTATATAAATTCTGATTCACAATGAACATATAAACCATGTTTAATGGACATACATATGCAAATAATGTAGACTGATATGATGATTTAAGTAACAATTGATTGACAATTTGATTACATAGAAGGAATGATTTTTTGTTTTACAACTCTTCCAGACCTAGTTACATATGGCTTTGATTGCTCTGGGGGCTTAGGTGAGTTACCTTTGTCAGGATTTTCTCCATGTTGCACATCATTACCAGAATTCATATTAGGGGTATCATCTGGCAAAGGCTCATGTTTGAAAACATCATACTGGGGAAGAGCAAGCTCTTCTGGCTGGGGAGCATCATTTGTTTTATGGAGAAATCTCATGTTGCGCCTATACAAAGAACCAGCAGGTGTCTTGACCAAATATGACCTATTCCCATGTGGTTGCATTATAATGGCTGGGGTCCATTTTTTATCATTCAGCTGAACCCTTACTGAATCACCCGAGTTGAGAGGCTTCAGAGGTCGAGCTGATCTATCATAGTAGACCTTTGACTTGTCATGAATGACTTGTAACTTTACCCTTATCTTGTCTGTGTCATGATGAAAGGGCTAAAGGCTTTCCTGAACAGTAGGGATGTTTGACACCTAAGTCTTCTGGACATCAACAGTTGTGATGGGGAAAGTCCCATGTCCAAGGGAGTAGTCCTATATGTCAGAAGGGCCAAATTAATGTCTTGTCGGTCAGCCTTACACTTAGTAAGAATGTCCTTTATGGTTTGTACTGTCCTTTCAGCAAGACCATTAGATCTAGGGTATCTTGGGCTTGAAGTGACATGCTGAAAATTCCACTCTTTGGAAAAATCAGCAAATTCATAACTTGAATATTGTGGACCATTGTCCGAGACAAACTTTTCAGGTATACCATACCTTGCAAAGACTTCTTTGCATTTTGAGATCTGAAGACTTCAAAATACCTACTATAGTAGTCAACAAACAGAACATAGTCCTTGTCATCCCATAGGGAGAGATCTGAGGCAATTGTCTGCCATGGGTATGAAGGAATTTCATGAGATTGCAAAGGTTCCTTAGAGTTGGAATTCCTAAATTCTAAACAAACATTACAGTTCAGTATTAGGTCTGTAATGTCCTTCGTAAGTCCTGGCCAGAAAACTATGTCACGCGCTCGTCTCAGGAAGTTTTTCAACACCAATGTGACCCACATGTAAAATTTTCAAGAGCTCTGTCCTGAGGTCATGGGGAATAACTATTCTAAGACCCTTCATAATGATCACATTCTCTACTGACAATTCATCTCGGAAGTTCCAGTATTCCTTAATGGGGTCTGGGCAATCTCTGCGCAAGTCTGGACAACCTTGCAAAATAAATTTGGTTAAGGTTTGAAACTTAGGGTCTGATTCTGTAGACAACCTAATCTGTTCTAGATGACGGTCACTGACCTGTATGTTTTTATGAACCAAATGTACCTGGGCCTCAGTGAATGCCCTTGGAGAGCTCTGGCATTGTGTGAGGTAAGTACTACCTAGAAAGTGTATCTGCTACAGGAATCTGTTTTCCTGGAACATGAACAAGCTTAAGGTTGTATCTCTGCAGTTGCAGAATCATGCGCTGTAAGCGGGCAGGGACAGTAAGTATAGACTTCTGCATAATAGACACTAATGGCTTGTGGTCTGTTTGGACGCACACCTCACGCCCATAAACATAATGATGAAAATGCTTACACCCAAACAGAATAGCTAGCATTTCCTTTTCAATTTGTGCGTAGTTAATTTCTGATGGGGTAAGAAATTTAGAGGCATAAGACACAGGCTTGCCTTCTTGTAAGAGAGTAGCCAAATTTGGAGGCATCAACTTGCAATACAGTATCTTTGCAAGGATCAAAATAGGCCAATACTGGGCCTGGTGACCTTGTGATTATGTCCTTGACCTTAGCAAAAGACTCTTCTTGGGCTGGGCCCGAAACAAATTCAGACCTTTTTGACAACAATTGTCGCATGGGGCTAGTAGTATCAGCCAGCCAAGTTTGGTGCAAATTTGGATAGGTAGTTTACCATACCCAGTACCGTCTCGAGTTCGTTACGATTTTCCGATGGTTTCATGTCTTTGACAGCTGAGACCTTGTTAGGGTCTGGCTTGACGCCATCTGCAGAAAGTAAGTGACCAAAGTACTCGACTTGTGTCTGACCTACTTCAAGCTTCTCATCATTGAGCTTAATGCCCATTTCTCTTGTGCGCTGAAGAGCGGCTTTAAAATTGCTATCGTTCTCAGCACGGGTCTTCCCATACACAAGAATGTCGTCGAATATAGCAACAACACCTTTGAGACCTGCATAACAGTAGTCAATCTTGCGCTGAAATTCATCCTGTGCAGATTTCAGGCCAAAGGGCAATCTGAGGAAACGATACCCACCATAGGGGGTATTGAAAGTGGTAAGATAGCTCGAATCGTCGTCAAGCTTAATAGTCCAATAACCTGAGCGCGCATCAAGCTTGGTGAAATAACGTGCACCGGATAACTCAGGTAAAATGTCATTGAGAGTTTTCAAGGGGTAATGGGGTCGATGAATGACCTTGTTTAGATCCCAGGGGTCAAAGCAGATTCGTAAAGCTCCAGACGGCTTCTCGACAACAACCATGGAGTTTACCCAACGTGTGGGGGTGTCGACCTTAGCAATGACCTGTAACTTCTCCATCCGGTCTAACTAAGTTTTTACTCTGTCACCCAAAGCCTGTGGTATTCTACGAGTGGGGTGGACAGCAGGTATAGCATCGGGATCTATATGGATAGTACATTCCCCTGGGAATAATCTAATCCTTCAAAGATATCCTTAAACTGTGTCAAGAAGGATATGGAGATAACGAACAGTATTCAATCTCAACTGTGCATGTGTCAAGACAGTCTCTCTGTCGAGTACACTGGCTGCAATTGGGTCTGTTAAAGTCGACTTAACTGTCAAGGAATTAACAAACCTAACCAGTCCCATATTCATACATGATGCGAGTCCGAGGATAGGTGGGGCATGTCTACTGTCAGGGTCAACAACATGAAACTGTGTGTGAAATATCTTGTCCCCAACCTTAACAGCTACTTTGTCTTAACTAGTGACCCAGCATAACCAGACAAATCAGACGACGGACTCAACTGATCAGCAACACCTAGTTGTTTATAAGTAGATATTGGTATAAAGTTAACGTGTGAGCCAGTGTCAAGCTTACATTTGACTGGTACATTATTTGGACCTATTGTAACATGTGTAAATGCTTGATTTTGTTCATATCGCGCATCAGATTTGTTAAGAGCATGAACTACACTGATAAAATCAACAAACAAATCAGTAAAATTGTCATTAGAACTGTGACTGTATAAAGGATATTCTGCTCCAGCTGTATGCGGCTCGCGAACTTCATGAACTTTCTTGCTACAGCAAACTTTGGCGAAATGGTTCCGTTTATTGCAAAGCTTGTAGGTTTTTCCGTACGCAGGGTACTTTTCCTTTTTAGTATGTTTGTATCCACAGTTCGGACATACAGGTTTACTGGATGCATGGCTTGCGGCTGCGTCATTATACCGTTTCGGTTCAGTTTGACTGGTGCTATTTCCGGTCTTGAAAGTCTTGTGGGAATCACGATTTCCAGGCGGTAGGCTAGATGTAACCGCGTGAACTTCCTGTGACGTGGTACCCATCGACTTAAGCTGCTCCTGTGAGTATTCGTGGTTCTGGGCGATTTGGATGGCTTTATCCAGAGTAAGCTTGTCACCTTCATTGATAAGCTTTTCGCGAATCTTGGCAGAATTTTTCCCAAACACAATTCTATCACGGATCATCTCATCTGCATCGTGATACTGACAGTCTTTAGCTAACAAACGGATTCTGGTGACAAACTTTCAATCCACTGTTGACCTTGAACCTCGTTATTGAACTTGAATCTGCTAAACACAGGGTTGAGCTTAGGTTGCACGTACGCCTTGAAACGCTTGTAGTAAGTGTCGAGCTTTTTCTTGTCGTTCGTCAGAGTCCACGTAAATTATACACATCACGACCTTTGTCGCCTACCCAAATAAGTAAATAACTTATCTGAACAGTCTCATCTTTCTCTTTCAAGGGGCCATCAAATATCAGTTGCACGTGCTGCTGGAATTTTTTCCAGCTATCGACCAAATTTGTCGATGTCCAATCCATAGATGGCGTAGGTATGCCTGTAAGATCCATTTTTACGAGACTTCTGTAAATTCTGACACCATGTTATGTTTTCTGAATGCAAAGATCCAGTGAAATGACGAGAAGACAATGAGCACGTTTTTCACTCTCTATTCTGTAGATCGGAAATCACAAAAATGGCGCCTTGCGCATACTCAAACAAAGTGTATGTAAAATCAATCAATCAAATAAACGGCAATAACTCTTATAACAAAATTAGCAAAATAATGTAACAACACGGGGCTTCGGTTTTTAAGGTTTCATCCGAAGGACCCGCAACTTTCACTTCAAAGTGCCGAGCACATGGCGAAGGAACAGTTGCTATCCATTTTCATACATTTATATCGACTTAGGTCAGTCGCGGCAGAGATACGAACTCACGACCTCCCGATCACGGATCCCGGAGCGAGCGCTCTACCGACTGAGCTACCGTGAACAGTTCAAAATGTTTGACCTCTTGGCCTTGATCTTGGAATGAACAATTTCTAAAAAGAGGTAAATTATTGACAAACAGGTTGATGAAACAAGAATATCAACAGTCTCGTTTAGAGTCATTATTTCGTAAGTTCTATGGTCGATACAATGACCTTGTCAGCAAATACAATTTATCATTGAGTCAAATGCTGACTGGCGCCTTTCATACCAATTGTTAGTCCATTATTTATACACTGAATTGATAACGGATTTTTTCCGTTATTTCCTGATCATGACAAGGAGCACACGGCTGGTGTGACCGGTCGACAGGGGATGCTCACTCCTCCATGGCACGTGATCCCACCTCTGATGTTTCGGAGGTCTTTGTTTGCTATGTTCTTATTTTGTATTGTTTTATGGACTTTGAGATTGAACACTGTTCGTTATATTCATATCCTTCTTCTACCCAGTTTCTCGAGAAAGTATTAAACTTTAACTTTGGCTAGAACAGTTGATGCTAGATTTCTCTGTCGGATTTAAGGGAAGAGCTAGGCCACCCACGCTTCCCTAAAACTTTTATAAGTTAGTATGACATGACTAATATTAATGTAAATAAAATGGTAATTCTCGCATACGAAATTATTCAAACATACATAACTAACCAATTGATACAAATATATTTGTGCATTGTTTTAATTTACTCTAAAAAAAATACACAAAAAAACAGATCTCGAGCCTCCGGCGGCTTTGGCCCCTGGACCCAATGGGGGTCTTAAGGCGGCCCCCAGACCCCTTGCCTAATAAAAGTTATCCACGCCCCTCTCCAATCACTTATACCCCCGCCTCAAAAGCGGGAAGGTATAAAGTAATAGGGATGTCCGTTCGTCCGTCTGTTACGCTTTGGGGTTCCCATCTCTTATCAGCAAGTTCTCTTATACCACAGAATGAAATTTGATGAAACTTTCAGAGAATCTTGATCACATAATGTCATTTGACAGCTCCTATTTTATTAATATTTCCTTACTCTACTATATACGTTTGTGTGCATATGTAAAAACTTTCTAAAGTGTGTGGGGGGGGGGGGGGTATATAACCATAACCATTACTCCATTAGGTCCATGGGTTTATACCACCTTCTTACAGCGAATAATCACCGGTACAGATTATAATATTCCTCCTACCACCACAATGAATATAACATCATGGTAATGAAACATATGAAGATTTAAAACAGTATTCAAGATCAAAAGTCCATAAACAATACAAAATACGTAATCATACGTGCAATTTCAACAACATGTGACGATGTTATTTAGTCTTTCAAAAAACTTGTCATAACATGTTTTCAATCTTTATTCATGAATTTCTAAAAGTTCTATAAAACTCTACTGTAATACTAAACTATCACACACTTCCTACATTTCTAAAGATGAAGACTGAAAGGGTATTGATTTAAGCAGAATTCTCAAGACAGGAAAATGTTCAACCTTTTATCTCTACGCTGAATGTAAAACTCACAATTCGTCATTGATACTGTGGGACAGGAGGTTGAAAGATGTCAAAATTGATAAATATAACACAGATGCTGGCACATCAAAGTAAAAGTAAAATACACCAATTGACTATCTGACAAATGTCAACACTCATCCACTTGTTATATTTTCTGCATCAACTTATATGTCAATAGCGTGCACACATACTAGCATACTTAAAGGTAGGAAAGGCTCTTACATATCAAATCAACATTCGACATCAGCACAATATACAGGTTATTAGATGCATTTCCACATAAATCATTTGACAACGGAAACTAATAAATTACAATTTGCTTTAAGTTTAGTTGTTAGTTTGCAATTTACGTCTTCAACGTGTCTTTAAAAACTTCCCCATATAAATCAAATAAATCAGCGCCTCTTGAGATTCCTCTACTTTAGTGAAAATGAAGGTTTTTATTTCAATTTATGTAACGACTTTTTTTATGTAGAAGTTTTAAATAAATTCTGCTTCATAAGAGTACCCAAAAACTTAATAATTATCTTTATTTCATTGCAATGACACTGATGGTTTTTTTCTGCCATATTAGAGATAACATAAAATTTGAAGTAAAAGATTTAAAAGACTTATCGAAACGTTGTTCCTACTGCCTAAAATTGGTGCTTAAACTCTGGTCAAAATTGTCTTCAAATATCAATTGCATGTAAGCACCTCGCTGAGTTTTTTGGTTGGTATGTTGTAAATGGATCTTTTATAAATCCTTAACAAGATAAACATGTCCGAAATTGATTTTAGTTAATGCATGTATGATACTATTTGATCCGTTATCTAAGAAGTACAACATGTATTTGAGTGATTAAATCGTATCGTTACCTTAAACATGTTGAACACATGGGCATTGATGACATAATCAACAGTCTGTAAACTGTGCATTTTTGTATATTTGGATCACCTTGATTCTACACACAAGTAATATCGGACTGATAACTAAAAGAATTTGGATTTTTTTTCATTGACAATATCTTTCTTGTATTTGGATTACAGGGTCTTCTAATAAACAGTTGAATTTTCAATAGGCCTTAATTTTGCTCTTTGATCATCAGACATGTTTTAATATTCCTTTTATCGGTACTTTTTTTCAAATACCTTATACTTTAAGAAAATATAAAACAGTGGCCTTCACATTAAGATTTTGATAATGGACGACGTTTTATCAATTAACAGTTGATGGATACATTACTTTTAGTGTCGACTCAAACAGGCCTCTAAATGACCTCTAGAAAATAGGCGAAAGATGCCACCTTATTAAAAAATGTAGACGGCGATGCTTAGTCAACAGGCAGTTTTTAGTAAGGTGCCAACTTTAAAGTTTGATGGTGATTTTAAAGAACTGCAAAGAACGGGTTGTCATTTTTTTGGAGATATAATATTGATAAATAATACTTGATTGTGAATCTTTATTTTTCATTGTAATTTTATTGATTATCATGTTCATGTATTATTACCTACTATTCTATCTTGACCATTTATACAAGGAGAAGGTGTACATAGGCATTGCTTGTTGCCCAATCCTGATTGAATTTCTCAATAAAATATGTTTAAACTATAAAGAACTGTATTCGGTAATAACCGATATTTGCCCCCCAAACCAAACTTTGAAGGAGAAATATTTAATTATGGGGCACAGTTGGTCACAATTAAGATAAAAAATACATGTATGCACAAGTTTGAAATTTTTTTTTTCTAAATGTGGACGTATACATGTAGCAGAAATAAAAAAAATATCTGCATCATACAAATATTGTAATAATCAAGAAGCTGTCTCTCAAGATAATGATATTTGAGTCCCCCGTATAGGTCTGGAATGGAGACCCCACGGTAGAGCCAAGATGTCATACACGGTACATTTAATTTTTACATATGATTGTGTCTTGTAAAATTCTTTCTATTTCTTGAAATATTGCAAACGCATGGTGGCATCAAAATATTTGCCCTTTAATAACCTAATTAAAATATTAACCTCATTGAAATATGTGTCCCCAGAACAGAGCTAGTAAAACGAGCTTAATTTTAATTGTACAGAACTTCCAACAAACCCGTAATGTTTACTTTCCGTTTGAAACAGAAAGTCTTTATCGGGAGGATATATTGATGAATTATTTCGCTTTGAATATTTCTTAATTGCTTGAAATTTCTAAGACATAGGACATGCACTTACTGTCAAGCTAAAGGATATCAATGATGTAGTCATGCATTTATCAGTACTGTACGTACTAATCACATGGCACCTGATCACACCTCTGATGTTTTGGAGGTCTTTGTTACTCTGCTCCTTTTTGTTATACAATTATAGCCTTTTGATGAGGTCAATCCCTCGATATATAGACCTTAGAGAAGCATATCGACCGAGCACGAAGTGCGAGGTCGATATGCTTTCTCTAAGGTCTATATATCTAGGGATTGTACCGAATCAAAAGGCTACAATTGTTTTATTATTTTTTATCAGTTAATAGGAAATGTCTTAAAATCCTTCTTTATAATACTCAGTACCTTCTCATACAAGGCATTGTTATGTCATTGCATTATGACGTCACAGTAATGAAAACCATCTGCAGTATCTGTTTTTAGAAACATCCAGTCTATAAAGACTATTGTGACGTCAGCACTATTGTGGCTTCACAGAGAACGTTTCTAATTTTAGAAACAGCAAGTCTATAAATTTTTAAAATAGAAACATCCAGTCTGTAACACTTTTTATACTGGATCATGTGATCCAGTTTGAGCCAATCTGATAATTGGAACAATAAAGAAAAATAATAATTTGTATTATTGACTTTGATCTGGAATACTGTTGGTTATCTCCATATATGTTTCATGCATCGAAATCCCACAATATCTTTACTGCGGGCTATGATCAGATAAATTTGTATGTAGAGTGTTTAGTAGATTTGCATGGAAGTGCAGATATATATTTAAGTTTACTTTTAATATGTAATACAATTACAGTATAAGGATGGTACTGTGCACAGTATTCTTTATCAGTAGATTGTTTAATTTTGTTGTCGATAACATTAAGTGTTAGCTTTTTGATTCAAATACGTGTTTATTATTCACTCAATGACATGTTATCGTAGGATAGGGACCTTGATAAGATATAATAAAACTGTATTTGTTTGCACTCGCACTTTCTGTTTACATAATAATAACATAAGTTCAAACATTAGATGTCTCGTTTTTACGATATAGACGATACTGCGTGTATTCATTTGACACTAGAGCATCTCATATGAACATATATAGTTATGCTGTGTGCATTTTGGAATGAATTCATAAAATCATCCTCTTTGATTTTTTTTCGGTAGTGTTTGGTAATCTAAATAGTACTGCTTTTATTTGCTTGTCCCTCCCCTTGTGTACATTCTAACCCTTTTTGCATACTATATTAAATGAAACATATGGAGATAACGAACTGTATTCAAGATCAAAAGTCCATAAAACAATACAATATAGGAGCAGAACAAACACGGACCTCCAAAACATCAAAAATGGGATTAGATGCCGTAAAGGAGTACGCATCCCTTTTTTGCACAAATTCTGCTTCATATGAATACAAAAATATGTCCACTAATAACGGAGCGCAATTCGTATCCATGGGAATTCCAATAGATTGTTGGAAGACCTGGCCTCATAACAATTGATTCAGCAGTTTTCTTTTCTTGTTTTACAAACAGTTTTTATGAAAACACAACTTTAGGGGGGGGGGATGAAATAATAAATTTATTTGCAAAAATTGCACGCTGTCTAGAGTAGCTTAAAAATACATGTCGAACATACAAAATTATATATTATGCAATTTTAATAACATGTACATTTGTCGCTAAAGTTTCACGAAGTTCACTCCATTGGTATCCATCCCGGATAGATAAAACTACTGACGTCATTATTAAAGTCTTTTGCGAACCTTGAACCCGGGGCAAATACGGGTTTATAATACAGGGTTGTCCCCCCTGTCAACCACGCCACCCACCATCCGAAGGTCCCCACGGACATAATCGTGTGGTTTGTTAAGGACAATAGCGCCATATCCTCCGGTCCAGAATTACCTAATGATATGTGCACATTTGTTTTGTTCTTAAAGGCGTCCTTGGTCCATTTGAGGTCATCCGACGCAACTATGAATAAAACGCTTGGATACAAATTTTCAAAGTAATCCAATGAGTTTTCATAATAGCTAGCATTAGGAGTTATTTGACCGTAGTCATTCACAGGTTTAGAGGTGTAGTCCCCACGTCTTACATGCACTCCCACTAGCGTGGAATTTTTGGAACAACAAGTAAACCCGGATGTTCCTATGATATCTGCTAGCTGCTTCCTGGCTCTCTCTGTTATTCTGTCTTGGAATTTAAATGTCTGACGAAGACCGTTTTCACGCTGGATCCAGTATTTCCAGGACTGCAAATATCCATTAAATTTAGCACTCTGAAATATTGGCACATTTATAAGTTGTTCATCGAATGAACAAGCCCATTTCTCAGAAAAGGTTGGAATGCTATCACAAGCTTTGTTTTCTTCACCAATTTGTTTCAAAGTCGTTTTATTAATTTTGAAAACATTGCCGAGTTCAAAGTTTTCGGGGATTACAGGATACAGTCCTTTAGATTTAGAAATACTGTATAGAAAGGCATACTGAAACATCAGGTTTCCGAGTCTTCCACGGAATCCTATACAAGCTTTCGGCAAACCTTGATGTGGTATTCTATTTATGGACAGTAATTTGGAAATGACCACCAAAGCAGCTAGCGTAAACAATCCTATTTCTGCAATAAGAAGTAATGCGTAATAAAAATTAAATGCACTAAATCTCCTATTTATCTGAATGAATAAGATTAGGTTATCGCTGCTCTTGATCTCTCGTGCAGATTTGACTGAATGTCAAACATTCTTGAGATAAATAAATACAGATCAAAACTAGAAGTACTGTGAGCAATGAGCTCACTTTATAGTAACCCCCCCCCCGCCTCCCATATAAATATAATGACAATATAATGACAGTATCCATGTTTTGCTCTGGAAAATCCAAAATATATGTCAGATCAAAAAATAAAATAAGAGGTGCACAATGGCAATATGTATCAAAGATTCTGTGAACGTTTCGTTAAATTTCATTCAGTGGTATGAGAGAAGTTGCGGATAGGAGATGGGTACTCTAAAGCATAACAGACGGACGGATGGACATACTGATTACTATATACCCTCCCACTTCTCAAGCGGGGGTATAATAAAGTTAGATTGACAATCTATGACCCTGAAATTTTTTCGGTGTTATTTTGTTTCATTGTTCCATTTTCTTCAAAATTGAAAGCAAATAAAACATTGAGAACAAAATTATTAGACTATGAAATTAGAACTGATATCAAGCATAATGAATAGCTAGAAAAAAAGTTTAAAGTCACAACAAAGTCTTTTGTAAATGTGTAAGTTATGTCGAAACGCATTAATGATAAGTGTGTTTGTTATCACTCTATAGGTAAGAAAATTATCCAAAAACAGTCAGACTATAAAAAGTCGAAATGTTTTTTTTACCCATTTCAATAGCAAGATAAGGGTAAAAAAAAGAAAATGTGTATATTTTACATCAGACTTTGGTGATCAATTTGTATACAGAGATTCTTGCGACTTCTGTTGACCTCATTTAATTTAAATGACTCTTCCTTTTATGGAACTCAAGGGGAGTGGTTAATCATTATATTGGAATTATCTACAGCAAAAATGACTGCTAAATGTTCACTTTAAACATATTTTGCTTTCGCGGTAATTCCTTAATATAAATTTAAGCGAGGGAAAAGTTCAATGACGGTTTACATAATTTACAAAAGCCTTTATCTTAAGTACACGAGATATTTGTAATCCAAATGGAAAAAATTATATCTTTGAGTTTTTTCTCACTGCAAACAATAGATTCTGATGTACATCAAACACTATTTCTATTGTACGAAACACTCAGGCGAGCTAAAATGTATTGACGTCATCTTAATTATTATAATTAACATAAGTCAATACCGGTAATTACACGTACCTCAAACTTTAAAGGTATTCGAAAGAAAATCTACTTATTATATATTCGACTAAATTGCTTACAATAAAATTGTCTTGTATTATCTAGAGAGAAGATGATTTGTGGACACAGAGAGTATATTATAACAAATTGAATTCTATTCTTCTACTTACTTAGGAGATATTTTGATAATTTCCGCATTATTCATTTCCCATCCACAACACGTGGTTCCCATTGAAGAACATTACACCCAAATTCTGTCAGATGATATTGCAGTAAGTTGATATCTGTGCAGTCTTAACTTCAATAAATTTTTATCTCGACACAAAGGGACTGATAAACGCCTCATACAGGTAAATCACTCAGCGATCTGGTCAGGGATACAGTATCAGAGGAGTTTGTGAGGCAAAAGTAATGGTTCTGTTTTCCTTTCTATATGTGAAATTATAACTGAAGGAAATACCAACTAAATGGAAAATTTACACAAAGGAAATAAAAACACAAACGTCATGGTACAAACATTCCGAAGTATATGTCAATAAAGCCAGCATTATGTTGTTATGTAGATAAGAATTTTTACTTAAACAAGGATCTGATTTTGTATTTTTTTATTTTGATATTTTATCAAATTTTATCAAATGAAATCGATGTACAATGTAGGATTTTTCTAATTGTTGGAATTATGCGATGCATAAGTATTTTAGCTATTTAAGATCCCTCTGATAAAAACTTTAACAGGTCGAGGAAACTATTTTCTGTGACGTCAGAATAAAATAACATGTTAAGTGAGGAACCAACGTGACTGACAAATCGACCAATCAGCTCAATGAGTTGCATTATGGTCTACTACAAAAATACTACACATGTTTTTCTAAAAGGCCAATTTTTAAAATCGCTCCCGGAAAAACGTGATGCATTTTTCCAAGCATTTTACACACTTAATACAATATGAACATCATTATCTACTGATTCCATGCTCACATTTATATACAAATGATTTACAATGATAAAAATTAGGGTTAAATCTCCACTCCATTGTACAAGTCCGTTTGTTGACAGCTTTCCCCGTGCTGTATAGATGTACGGTCAGTGAAAAGTCAATTTCATGTGACTATTCCTTGGTCCAAAAACAATCAACTCTGAGGTGTGCTCACGTATTGTTAATGTTTGCTACGTACACAACTTCGAAATATATGCTACTCATGTTCTATGATCAATGGGCATGAGGGTTTATATGACAGGTAAATAATTTTTTTCAAAAATGCAACTTCAGAATCCCTTTTTTTTTTTTTTTTATAAAATGCAACTTTTAATTTTTGGTAACAAATAACTGAGCAACAACTACTTAAATTTAACCAGTAACATGGCAAATTATCGAACATCGAGTTAAAAAATTAAGTCTTATTTACTAGTGAAGACTTTGTGAGCGGTATTTCAAAGTACTATTTAACAAGGAAAAGTTACTTTATTTGTTAATGTGAGCATGGGGAATCTTAATTAGTACCCAATCTTCGTATTTTTCATGATAAATTTCAAGAAGATCGTTAGCTGACTTCCCTGCAGTCGTTTGAAATCGCGTCCTAAAATTCCCTGACCCACGTGTTTGTAGTAAAAATAAACATGTAGTAGACCATCATGCTTTTCGGCTCATTCACTGGATTGGACCATTGCTTGCTGTGAGCACCTTTGTGCGCAATCGCAACAATATCCATATAAGGTAGTTTCCACGACCTGTTTAATACTAACTGCATATTATAAATCACTGTTTATCCTTTATGAGTATTCTCATAACAATATCTTGTTTTACATTTGTATTTATAAAAGGTTTTAAGAAACCAATATCATTTGGTGATGGTATCCAATAATCTTGCATGATCAATGTCAAATCAAGTTTATTAATTAGATTTTCCCTTGTCATTAAAGTTCATAAACCCTCTGCTCACTCATATAAAATGTTGCTTTAACCTCAATGATTTTCAAAAAGAAATGTATTTTTTAAGTAAAATGCAAACAATTATAGCATATAGCTTGCGGGGCAAAAGTGGACAAAAAAGACATTTCAACTTGACAAATCTATAAAGGAATTTCTGTCATTAAGAGTTATCTCTCTTATCAGAGTATCGATGAACCTAAAGAATAAAATAAAATACTGTATGTGTGGATTTGAATTCGTTATAACGAAATCAACAAATTTGTTATAACAGATTAAATTCTTTTAAACGAATTCAAAGAAATTGTCATAACGAATTTAAAAATATATTAAAAATATTTTTCGATAGGTCTTAAATGGGCTTCCGTACTTGAACATTTATTTCCTTTTAAAAAAAATATATAGGGGAAATTCTGATTAGTGCGGAAGCCCATTTAGGACCTATCGAAAAATATTATTGAATCCGATATATAACGAATTGTCGAATTTTTTAAAACGAATTTATTTCGTTATAACAATTTCTATGATTTTGTTATAACGATTTTAAGCTGTTATAACAAATTTGTTGAATTCATTATAGAAAATTCTTTCATTTGTTACAACGAATTAAATTTGTTAACACGAATTAAAAAATTTGTTATAACAAATTAAATTCGTTTAAACAAATTCTTAAGTTTGTTATAACAAATGAAATTCTTTAAAACAAATTCCAAAGTTTGTTATAACGAATTAAATTCGTTTGATCGAATTCAATTATCAGGGTCTATATAGAAAAATATATATGAATTCGATATTACTATTTGTCGAATTCGTTTTACCGAATTTAATTCGTTATAACAAATTATGGAATTCATTTAATTGAAGTTAATTCGTTATTACAAGTTTTAGAATCTGTTAAAACGAGTTTAATTCGTATTAACCAATTTTTGAATTCGTTATAACGAAATCAACAAATTTGTTATAACAGATTTAATTCTTTATAACGAATTCAAAGAAATTGTTATAACGAATTAAATTCGTAATAACAATTTGGACAATTCGTAATATCGGATTAAAAAATATTTTTTAATGGTTCCTAAATGGTCTTCCGTATTCAAGTTATATCTACGCTTGAATTTTTTTTTCGTAAATGCTGGAGTAGCTATTTTATGAAAAAAATTAAGCATGTTAAGATTGCAGTTTGTTGAAAATCATCTTTATTTGATATAATTTATAACGTATGTACTTAGATATTTATTTCACTTACTTCAGATTATTTCTTAAAGTCTTTGACTGTTAATTTAACAATTTATAAAAAGACATTAATCTGAATAATTTTAAGAAGCAGAAACTAAACGAGATATTTCCATGTTCATTAAAATGTATACAAATACAAATACAAATATTTTATTAGTAATTGGTAAAGGCCCATAGAAAACATAGTGATAAGTATGAAAATACAGTAGAACACAACTAGGATACAAACAATTGGTGTAGCAAATTATGTATTGTACTTATCAGATACTAAATACATACATGATTCAGTACAATGTAGTTACTCATTTATGACTTAAGTATTTTTTCTTATATCAGATATTTGACATAAAAATGATGATAATATTTTAAGAACCTTTTTACAACTAATATTCATCAATACTTTTAACAATTTTTGATTATTATCAATTGTTTAAATTATACATGTAGCTCCTACTAGATTTCATTAAATATGACCACCATTTTAAAAAAAAAACAATTGTAGAATTATGAGGAACAGAGTATGATTTTTAAAGGAAAAATATGGAAATAACGAACTGTATTCAAGATCAAAAGTCCATTAAACAATGCAAAATAAGAACAGAGCAAACAAGGACCTCCATATCATCAAAAGTTGCTTTAAAATTGTTCATACATAAAACATGCTCTTGCGTATCGATTCGATCACTTAAGATGTATAAACTCCGTACACAGGTGATGAAGGTACATTGCTGCATAAGTAAGGGAAGTTGACAATAGAAAAGTTAAAATCATCAACAATTATCATAAAGCTTAATTAGATGTTTGATTACTATTAAAGTCTTTTTCAAGTAAAATATCCAAATATAAAACAGATGTGTCAGAGTCTGTGGTATCTTTTATCTCAAGCTCACCATGATATATCGTATCGACCTAAGAACGGAAATCATTTTTTGTCGACAATACGTCGTCGATATACAAAAATATTGAGTTGAAGGCCATATCAAGTATTTTCTTCTTTTCATATGAATATAAAAAAAAGTGGGCTAATATGACGCGCAATTGGTACCCATATGCATGGGATTTCCAATAGATTGCTGGAAGATCTTGTCTCCAAAAACCACATAGATATTGTCAATCAGAAACTCAAGCATCTGTGTGATGTCAACTTCAAAGTACGTATGTGTTCAATCAGAATGTTTATAACAAAATAGTTTTGCAAATGACTAATGACAAGGTAAATAAATTAATGAGTTCCAGTTTTATGGAAAAAACAGCAGTGAATGATATCAAATAAATCCTAAACTGGTTATGTATAAGGTTGGAAAGTCGTACGGTTTAAGCTGTAGGTTTTGGCAAAAATCTTTTGATTTCATCTTGTCCAAATGTTCCTTGGACTTTTTAAGTACTAGTATCAGAATCTGATTTACACTTCTTAAATATATTGTTGCACAGTACTCTTGACGTTTATGCTTCACAACTGTTAATATCTAAGTGAGGAGTACAGAATAAGGCTTTGTTGAGCATTTACTGGAAAGCGCTTTGTATCTTTGTAAGATTTTTTATAAAGTTTCGGAATCCAATATAAATATGGTAGTCCAAGTTTATTTTGGTTCCTTGAGATCATAAAAATATTCAAAACTGACATATTATTTTGAAAAATTTCTTCCTTAGAAACAGAACTATGAGTATAAAGTGAATTATAACTTGTAGAATTAAATCCAATTGCAAGTTCTTTTAAAATACAATTTATATAATTAGCCTTACATACAAAGCCAATGTTGTTATCTGCTTTGTCAGCAGAGACCAGTGCTGTACCTACAGATCATGTAATCTATCTAATTCTTTTTTCACTTCTGGATTGTTGGATAAGGAGGATTGACGGTTTTCATTCAGCCCCTGAATGTTTCAATACGCGATTGTAACATAGATCTGATACATTTAATTCATTCTGACAAAATGTCAACATGCATCTCTTTTTCCTACATGTATCTAGACCATCGATCGCCTAGCGTAATCTTCTACAGAATCCATAATATTTATGAAATTCTGACGCCAGTTGAAGGATAGTTGTTCCCCATAGTTAGGTTTATTTATTATTGATCTAATGTCCTTATTATGAACTATATTGATGTCACCTGTGATAACGTATCCAGCAGGATGATAATCATCAGGTGAAGAAGAACAAGAACACGACGGAGTATTATGTTTTAGATATGGACCATCTCTGCACTGGCCCTAAATTTCAGGATACTTTTGTATATTTTGATAGAACAATCATTTGATATAAAAACTTTAAAAATGTCATTCAGCACTGTATAACAGAAGGGGGAAATAAGTTTAATAATCTATGCCATAGAACACAGGAGAAATGATCAGTTTAAAAACCCACATTTAATATTAAAAGTAAATAGTCTTTGTACGGACACAAAGAATACCACAGTTAAATAAGCACATCATTCATAATATAATAATAGTGATAAAATTTACATAATGTATAAATATGTATTTAACATACATAAGTTAACTAGCTATAAAAAATGGTGACATTAATGAGCAATAATACAAACAAACAGTTCTTAATTTTCTCTCAGACAAACTGGGATTCTACAATATTTAATAATATTTAATATAGTAGCAGACAATACATTCTGTTTTAGATTGAAAAGCAAAAAAGGGGTATTTTTTTTCTAAAAATAAACACATACATAGTGACATAGTTAAATACTGAATTAACACTGCATAATTATAATGTTAACTAAGCATGTCATACTTTAGAAAACAAAGAAAATAAACTTTGATACGTTGCATGGTCTTACACATTTTCTTCACAAATGCACGTATAGTGATACCATGAGTTATTTTACATTCAATTTCACAGGAAAAAAAAAACTTCTCTCAAAAATGTATGTTTACTTCATTACCACAGCTATTAGTACTTTTTCATGTGTTTCAGATATTTACAAAACTTTCAACCACACACGCCTTATGAATTTTCAACCACACGCCTTATGAGTTTTCAACCACACGCCTTATGAGAAAAAGGGTCAAAGCAGAACACAATTTTTTGGACAATGAATATGAGTAAGAAAAGGATGTTAACTGTTTTCATCATTGTTCAGGAGATAGAAAGACTGATGCGATTGTCCAGCTAATGTCTCAGTTGAGTACCTGAGGTCCTTCCATTAAAATGTACATGACATTTACGTTTACCTACAACTGTATATCCATGATTTGTTAATATATATGTTTACAAGTACTTAAAATCATTTTTTTCTCAAAAATTCAATTTTCAATGCATGGCACATCATGATAATCCTCAGAACAAATCACATTAAAAAAATTCTTACCCTATGCCATTATAGGGGAGATTCTAAAATATTCTTATGTAAGTCACATATTCTCACATATCACATGAAAATACAAATATTTAATACTTCATATGAACTTTAGAAGTAATATGCATAATAAAAATAATAACATAGAAATATATACATGTCAGATTATACATAATATAGAAATATTGTGTCAGACAACATGTACAATTTGTTTTTATTTCTTACTGACAAATGATATGTAATTTTAATTCTATTCTCAGAATTCTCTTCACACAGTCAAACTGAATTTATTTGAATCAAAATGGAATATTTAGTGACATAGCTTACTTTCTAATGATTGAAAGAAGTAGGAAGAGTCTGTTAAGCTGTTTAGGGTTAACTACAGTCAACAAAATCTGAGTGTAAACAAATCCAAAATGTTTGATTTCTTTGTGTGAAACTGAATATCATAGTAAAATGTGTAATGAGAAACATACACCTGGGATACCTGCTTGGCAGTTAATTAATGAAAGCCCTTCGTGGAATGTAATGGGGACTAATTAAGCTTTTTACAGAGAAAGGAAAATGGATTTCATAACGAAAAGGAGTACATTTGAAACAAATGTATGTAACAAATTCTTATCAAAAACTAGGTCCTGGTTGTAACTGATATTCCAATTCTGATTAAAGATAAAATGCTAATTTATCAAATTTTATCCAGGACTTAAGTTATAAAACAAAACTGAATTTGTCAATTACACTGACCATCACAAATTGAGCTCTCTAACTTAACTCGGAAAACAACATTATACCCCAGCAAACAATAACAGAAACTCAGATAATATTTAATTCTATAAAAAAAATTTGGTTTCATTAACAGGTTTATATTTTTGCCTGTAAACAGATATCTAATTCTATTAAAAAAAAAACATTCGGTTTTTTTTAACAGGTTTATATTTTAGCATGTCATATCTAAAAAGTGTTTACCTTCAAAATAAATCCATGTACATGTATTTCAAAATGAATATATAATGAGAATCCTTGTGACACACTAAACTTACTTCCCTCTGCGTGAAAGAAACAAAAAAGATAAAAATTGATTCCTATTTGTTAAGTTCTAAGTTAATCACTTGGATATGAGTTCCTTCTCCGAGGAGTCCTCACCCTCCTCCATTTTTTCTGATATCTGAGCCATGTCCATTTTATGTTTAACCTTCATTTCCTGCCTCCGTACTTCGGTGTACGCCCCGGACCCGAATAACACGACAAAGTTACTGGTCCACCAAAGCGTTGATTTGTGATCCTGGTAGTATATACACGCTATCACGGTCTGAGCGCAGGCTTTAGCTGTCCCCGATATGTTGTGGGTGAGAGGAGAGGTCACCTGGATCTGTAATCCAGTTATGTATCCGATAGCGAATCCGAACACTCCTCCTATCGTCATGTAGGTCCAGAACGTTGTGTTCCCCAGTTTTGGGAAATTCCAGACTTCTCCGATTTCGCCGAACACCAGCATGAGTGGGAGGAAGAGGAAGCAGGCGTTGACGTTGTTGTAGAAGGTCAGTCTCCAGATGTTGTTGTCCACCACGGGCAGGACTTTCTTTGTGTAAATAGAGTTCAAGGCCACACTGGCGCTCGCCAAGACCCCAAACACCACCCCCATCACAGACAGGGACCCTGAAATAACAACGGATAACCACTGATAGGGCTGAAGTATAAATGACACTGAAATAGAAAGCATAATGATTACTAGAGCTCAAGTATAAAAATTTCATGAAGAGATATAGGCATATGCCTACTTTTTAGATGTTACACTCTTTTCATGGGTACACTGTTTAACAGATAACATTTGTGAGTCTTTTTTTCAAAATCTTTTTTTTACAAAGATACATTCAAAGTCATAAACATTTCATTAGAAATATTTTTAATTTAAACATGCTCATTGCACTGCATACTGAAGAGTTATAATTCTGTGGTATTTTTGTGCAGATTGAGTGATCTGCCCTTACATTTAGATTGTAAAAATCAAAATCTAATTTGGCTACAATCAATTAAAGCATTCTTAATCTTTCATTACTCCAGGTAAATTAACTTGACACTTTATTTCTATGTGGTTTCCTCATTTCAATAATCAACAATAATTTATTTTTGCTCTCAATTCTCAATTGTCTTTGTACATTTTCTCATTTTAAATATCTGCAATATTCATACCTTTTACAAAATTACTTTCTCAAGTGTCCAACAAATATATTTTTGATTGTAATAGAGAGTCCTTAACATTACAATCACTGTAAAATCAGTTTCATTGGGACTTCAATTTCATTTATTTTGTTGTTTAAAATTAGCAACAAAATAAAATCCTACACAAAATTTTTATATGGTGAGATACTGAACATCGTGGTGCTTTCGAAACAACAAAATTTAATGCCTACAGACACTTTTTTTACCTGACAATTCACTGACATTTTATCCCCCTTAAAGTTTGTACATCTACAGTAGGTTTACCTGCCACTCCTTCTTGATCCACTCCCATGAAAAAGCCTCCAATGATGATCAGACAGCATACAATGGCCTTGACAGAGGTCGTCTGTTGTAGCATCGTGTAGGAAAACACCTGTGTTAAAATTAAAGTAATATAAGAACTGAACTACTACTGACTAGGCACATATTTCTAAGACAGCACACAATGGCCTCGAATACCCTTGAGGTCTGTTGAAAAATTGTTAGATTGCAGATGAGAACTGCATTAAAGACAACATGAAGTGTATTGGAAGACAGAACAAGATGTGTTTGTGAAACACTATGCGCCCGGCGTCAACAAAGTTCGAAAAAGCTATTTTTAGTATATAGGTCACAGTCAAGGTCACAAGGTCATTGACCTTGGTGTTGTTTGTAAGAACTTAATTAGTGGGGTATGCATACTAAATATGAAGTTCCTATCTCCTATTGTTCAAAAGTTATGGCAAAAAGTGGAAAAAGCTATTTTTAGCATATAGGTCACAGTCAAGGTCACATGGTCATTAACCTTGGTGTTGATTAAAAGAACTTCATTAGTGGAGAATGCATACTAAATAAGAAGTCCCTATCTCATATGGTTCAAAAGTTATGGCGAAAAGTGGAAAAAGCTATTTTTAGCATATACCGTAGGTCACAGTCAAGGTCACAAGGTCATTGACCTTGATGTCATTTGAAAGAACTTCATTAGAGGAGTATACATACTAAATATGAAGTCCCTATCTCCTATGGTTCAAAAGTTATGGCAAACAGTGGAAAAAGCTATTTTTAGCATATAGGTCACAGTCAAGGTCACAAGGTCATTGACCTTGATGTCATTTGAAAGAACTTTATTAGAGGAGTATGCATACCAAATATGAAGTCTCTATCTCTTACGGTTCAAAAGTTTTGGCAAAGGTTAAAGTTGACAACAGACAGACAGACAAACAGACAAACAGATAAACAGATAAACAGACAAACAGACAGGACAAAAACAATATGCGCCCCGAAAAAATTCGGGCGCATAAAAATTCTACAACACAGGGTTTACAATCATCTACTAATATATAAATATCTAATAAAATTTTAACAGCTAGATGAATTTAAAGTGTTCTACTTTGTAGTTATATAATTTGACTACAGTTTAAAAACAGAAATAAAACTAGCAAAAACAATGTTGCCAAAATTTAGCATTAATTTGGGCTGTAAGTATGTGTCCTTTTAAAACGGAACCATTTACTGACTTAGTTTAAGTAAATGACATATGTTTTACCTTCTTCGGTTATTATAGGTTAGTAACGTAGAACTGAAACATTTTTAATAGGGATGTCAAATCGGTCAATTTTTAATACTCGGTTACTCGGACGTTTTTCCAATCGAGTACCCGGGTACTCGGTAAAAGTGTAAATAAATATGAACAAGTAAACATTGTAAACTCTTGTAGAAATAAAACCACATGCTTTGATAGAAGGTTTACCCGTTAGTGTATTTCTGTTGTAACAACGATGAGCACTTCATGCCCGATGAAATTTAATATAACATCATTTATGTTCAATTTATTCATCAGATAAACACAAGAAATAAAATCATAAGTAGTTCACAGATTTTTTGTTTCAAAAATTAATCTGCTCCGTATATTGTAATGTAACTCTTTGTTGCGTTTGACGTCCAGGTATCAGTCGTACAGTTTAACTTGAACTTGATCAAGTTCGCCTAACAGAGCGGATTTACGGTTTTAGTACACTTTTCGAACATAGATTTTCTAGTATTATGGGACGGTATTTTGTAGTTTGGTGCAATGATGGACATCAGTTTTTTTTTTTAAGCCTTTGGCTTCAACCATTTGTATTGGCAGGTAATCAAACACAACCATATCAACAATCGCGCGGGCAATATCATCTGTCTCTTTTCCCGAGAATTTTTAAAAGACTTCTCGCAGAATTAACAAGATTGTCAAATTTATTAAATCATAATAGACCTTAAACGATGTTCAGTGAAAAAAAATAATTAAAGTTAATCAAAAATAAGGGTAGAAGACAACCAAAGGTGAGAAAAGCCAGGTTACAGGTGCTTGGTCACGATAATTACTGTATAAACACTGCCACGGGCGATAACGGTCATTTAGAGGAGTAGGAAACCATAATTACTGTATGTACAAGTGCAATGAGTATTTTACGTTTTAAAACATATTGTTTAATGCATTAATAAATAAGTTAAGAAATATTCAAAAATATACTTCCGAGTAACCGAGTACTGATTTTAGTATTCGATACTCGGACGTTCGATCGAGTTCCCGGTTAACCGGGTACTCGTTGACATCCCTAATTTTTAATATAAACATAAACGGGTAAAATTAAATTAATCATAGAAAACGCTTGTAATAATACATACCACATTGAATACACTTGTAAATGATACATACCACATTGAATACTGTAGTTAAGGAACGTCCTATATAGTAGAATGCCACTCCCACGTACTTCAAACACAGGTTGTTAAACGATATCATACAGCAAAAAACTATAGATAACGGCAGCACCTGCAAAATAAATTCAAAATCTGCAACTCAACACAAAAAAAAAAACACAGGAAGGTTTGGTGAACCTTCGTAAGTTTATTGTTACAGGTTTTATGATTATTTTTTAATTAACCATGTTTACATTTCACTTGCTTTTGCGATGACATGCAGAGCTTTTCCTTCCTGAACAAAACAAAATTTGCTAAATTCTAGAACATGTCATTTTATAAAAATAATTAATACTGAAATCAAGAACTTTCCTCCTTTCCTGAATGAGTCAAAATATGTTTTATCATGTTTATTGTGTTTAAAATCATTATAAAGTTTGAAAATTTCTAATCAGTCTCTTCCAGACCTACCCCCTTCAGGACTTGTGTGTCAATCTGAATGGATGGGAAGGCTATGTGATTTGGGAAAGCTTTGGAGAGTCCACTCAGCAGGCAACAGAGTCCTACAGTCACTACACACTGGTACCATGTGATGAACAGAGGCGCATTCAACTGAAATTAAAGTTTACTACATTAATACATTAAACATAAAAACTGTCTTGTCGGGACATGAATTTTAATTTGCTTTACATCAGCATATACACTGTATATGTGAGTTTGTACTGTATATGTGAGTTTGTGCTGTATATGTGAGTTTGTACTGTATATGCGAGTTTTTACTGTATATGCGAATTTGTACTGTTTATGTGAGTTTGTACTGTATATGTGAGTTCGTGCTGTTTATGTGAGTTTGTACACAGTATACAGGTATATGTGAGTTTGTACTGTATATGTGAGTTTGTACTGTATATCACTATATTTGCGAGTTTGTACTGTATATCACTATATTTGTGAGGTTGTACTGTACATCACTATATGTGAGTTTGTGGCTACTAAATAATTTTTCCTTGCCTTACCTTTAAATCTTTGCTGCTCAGTAAATATTTGTTGAGAAAAACCATGGAAATGGAAATGACCCTGCAATTCAATGTTCAAATTCTTATTTAACTTCTACACGATGAAAAACTTTCAAAAAGTTTCACCAAAATAACAATGTAATTTGCCATATTTATTTCCATTAATTCAGTTTTCAGGAGGAAATTCAAGTTATCTAATTATTGACTATTGAACATGTTTAGAAGCGTCAAACAAACCAACTCACCAGTACGCAGCAACGACAGACGCTATTTTTACCGACTTTGAAAAGAACGACTCCATCTTGTTTCTCCTGTACACCATAACAATGAGAAAATTTGCATAAGTAAAAAAACTTGTGGTTTAAAATATCCTGCCACGATTCAACAAACCAAGGGCACCAGTTTTTGTGCAGTGAACCAGTTAATAGATAAGACGTACGAAGAATATTCGAGGAAGCAATTGTATCCGGATTTCTAAAAAGAAAAACTCCTTGCTTTATCATACATAAAATAATATAACATAACTTGGGGCAGTCTATAAAGTGTTTACAAACTACCCCAATCATTATAATCAAATAATTTATGTTATTTAAAATAAAATATAGGTTAAAACAAGCTTCATTCCTTGAATAGCTAGAAAAACTAGAAAACTGACCAGTCAGCAAGGGCCCGCCATGGGGTAGAATTAATAGGGTGCAGCTTATGGAATGATTAAAAAATGTACGAAGAATAAGCAACAGCAACTGTATTCTTAAAATTTCAAGATAATTCCTGAATATTCAAAAACCTGAAAATAATATCCTAGGCTTGTACTTACATTAGGCAGTAAAGAACAACTTAATGTATATTTAAACAATTATGAAGAATTTGTATTATATAAAATACCAGCCTTGAATGAATGCAAATATCATGAAGGCTTGACCTTAACTTCAAACAAACAGCAGTTGCAGACAAAGGTTTTCATTAATCTTAAAGTGACAGAATAAAGAAAAGCCTACTAAATTTTCTGCAGCTGGCTAGATAATTAATCCAAGGGATTAATTGTACCTCTCTCATCATTTTCTTCTAAAGTACAATAAGAACTTTTTCAGTATTAATGATAGAATGGGGTTTTTATACAACTATTCTAAAAATTAATAATATGCTTGAATTAACATAAAGTGAAAAAAGTAAATCAAAAAATGGTTCAAAAAATCTTCTTTAATCTATTTCTTGTTATTAGAATTCAATGAAATCATAACTATTTAACAAATATAAATTATAAAAAATTATAATTTAAATATTTAAATCCACATTTCAGAGTGTTCATAGCATTCCAAATTGACTTAACTTCAAAACAAACTTCATTTGCAGACAGAGGTGGTAATTCATCTCAATTTGACAGATAAAGATAATGCTCTGGATTTTCTTCAGGAGGAAAGCTAATTAATCCCAAGGGACTCATAGCAGCATTCAGTTTTACAATAGGAACATCTTCAGCAGTTATCTCTCTTTGTCAATGCTTTTGTATATAAAGTTAAGGAATCTACCCCACCACCCCAGCTCCAAACCAGGGGACATAGAGAACCAAACTTAGCATCAAAATATGTATTTCTGCCTACTGAACTATCATACCAAATTTGTACTTGATAGGGCAGCCATAAAAAAAGTTGCCCATTCATTCTTATGCATAGTTAAGGAATCTACCCAACCACCCCAGCTCCAAACCAGAAGACATAGAGAACCAAACTTAGCATCAAAATATGTATTTCTGCCTACTGAACTACCATACCAAATTTGAACATGATTGGGCAACCATATAAAAAAAGTTATTAGAAAAAAACAGAAAATTTGTGGACGGAAGAGTGACAGACGGACAGACAGACAGACAGACAGACAGACGGACGGACGGACGGACAGAGTGATTACTATAGGGCACCCGCAAATCCTTGCGGGGCCCTAATTATAAGATTTTTCAAGTTAGATATTCATTGTAGACTAGGGGAAATTTAGTCCAATTCAAGATTATTTATGAAAACGGTCACTGTTTTAATTGTTTTCCATTTGATTTTTTTTTCTGAATTTTTTTTTAAATTCCTATATATACATAAGGGATACTAAAAACATCTGATCAATTTCAAAGTATATACTTATTGGTTTACTTCAAAAAGTAATTCAAATTTATTTTTAAATGATCTAGAATTGTCAAAAGAAACCTGAATGGTGGAAATTCCATTTTGTACCCCTTGAGTGGAAGATCGCAAGGCATAAATATAAATAGATCAAGTTTTGATGTGTTTACATTTGATGTACCGGTACATGTGTAACTCAATGCAAAAAGAAGAAAAGCACACAGACCAAATAATCAAGACAATAAAAACATTTAATAACTAGTGCTAATTGTAACGGGGACCGTTACAGATGTTCCCCAAATGCTCCCCAACTCCCTTTTGGTGCCATATTCCCTGTAATTTCTATTAAATAAGAAATACTTTATGGAATTTAGACTTAATCAAGGTCTTCCCAGAAAAATTCAAAATATATTTAAAAATAGGCATTGCACGCGTGTTCTTGTGCGTAACGACCATATAATCTTGTCTACACTATCTAAAATTTTAATATACTTAATATCAAAGCATTTAATCCAAAAGTATTAAAAAAATACACTCATTCGAGTGTATTTTTAATTTTACTGATTTCACGTGCACGCACGTGCAAGCACGTGCATAATGACTACAACTTCTTGTAGGAGTCCCTTATATTTATCTATGTTCTAAATCCCATCCTGCTTGGTTGAAAAACAAGGGAGTTATAGCCATTTGAAGTTTCAGCCAATCAGATTGCAGCACACATGCATGCGCGTGATTTCATATATTTTTATTTTTATCGTATTGAAGGATATCTAAATGAATGACTATATTTTAAAATTCCAAACATTTCGTCAAAAAACAAAGGAGATATAGCCATATAAAGTTTCAGCCAATCAGATTGCAGCACACGTGCATGCACGTGATTTCATGAATTTTGTCTATATCATATTTTAGGATATCCTAATGCATGACAATGTTTTAAATTTCAAAGCATTACGTCAAAAAACAAAGGAGATATAGCCATTTAAAGTTTCAGCCAACCAGATTGCAGCACGTGCGCATGCGCATGCTTTCATGAACATTTTTATATATCATGCTGTAGATCTTCATAATGTAGGTCTATGTTCAAAATTTCAAAAGATTATGACACGAAACAAGAAAGATATTGAGACTTTAGTTTCATCCAATCAGAGCGAAGCACACGTGCATGCGCGTGAGATCTTGCTTTTTTGACCATGCCATCTTGTCTATACTACTAATGTATCCTTACATTATGAGTTTAAAAAAAATTTATCAAAAAAAAGAAAAGTTACAGCAATATCCATTATATTGGTCATTTAACGTATTGCACGTGCGCACTCTTGCAAGCACGTGCGCGCAAAATGACCTTGACTAGGCAAATCTACATAACATGTCTACTAACCCTAAAAAGGTTTTACCTACATCGGATGAACAGTTTACAAGATCATTCCCGGACAAAAAAGTACCCAGGAAGAAGAAGAAAAATAATAATAACTAGAGCCGAGCTCGTTGCAAAGCAACGAGTAGGTCTTCCGTCCTGTTTGACCGGAAGTAGCTTTCGTTTTTAACAAAAATGAGAAATAACGCCTAAAAATGGTTTGAATCCTCTTAAGCTATGTTAATTAGTGCAAAAGTATAAGAATTCTTGCTACTTCCGGTTTAACCGGAAGTGAGGACGACGGACGGAAAATTAATTTGTATGCTCCCAGAGACATATGTTACCCAAAAACTTGACAAGAACGGCGAAAATACGCGTTTTTGACTACTTCCGGTTTGACCGGAAGTGACGACGCCGGACGTATTTTGACGACACAAATGGATTAAGCTTGACATTTTGAATAACTTTGCTTCTTTGACGTATTACAAATTCTCAATACTTTTTGAGATATCAATTAAAAATATTTGGCCCCTCTAGATCCCTTATTTTAGGGGTCAGACCTTTTTTCGAGATATCAATTGAAAGATCTTAAAATTCTTCACAACTTTTGTTCTATATGCTTTAACAAAATATTTACAATTAAAATGATATAATAGAAAAAGTGTTAGAAATTTTGAAACGTTCAATATGACTTTTTTCAGTCCATACCGAGCGTTAACGTGCAGTACTTCCGGTGAAAGTTAACAACACAATGCAAATCTACATATGTTGCTCTATCTTCCTGTAAAGGTTTCATCTTCCTGTGATGAGCAGTTTTTAAGAAGAGCGACGGACAAACTGACCCTTAAAAATCACAAAACTGCGAAAATCTCCGAACCGGAAGTGACGTCATCAAAATAAAAAAAAGGGTATCGAGAATTTTTAATGTTCTATCAGACCTGAAAGTTTCATAAAAATCTAACGAGCCGTTTTCGAGAAATCGCGTGCACAAAATCGGTAAGAAAAAAAATAATAAGAAAAACAGTGGAAAAGAAACAAACGAATAACAAGAAGGTCTTCCGCTGAAGACGGAAGACCTTAATAAGAAACAGAGTAAAAACAATATGTTCCCCAACTTCGTTTGGGGAACATAAATATAAACATCAGTATAGACATTTAATGAATATAAACATCTGTATAGTTTTTAATCATTGTATTAATCTTCTGGGCCACCTTTTGAACGTCCTCTGGATGATCTCCCCTGATGTGGATTTTCCGATGCCGTTGGGGGTTTCCCGTCACTTTCGCCTCCTCTCTCCGCTGCTGATCCCCTTTGAAGTGAAGCCTTATATTCAGTAGAGATCCCTCCCTGGTTCTCCAGTCATTGAGTAAATGGAGGCCTTCATTGTTCATGAGCTTTGTGAACTTCCTGTACTCCCCCTCTGGTGGGTAATACACTGTGATGTGGGACTGGTATTTAAACCGCTCCACCTCCCTTTCTAACATCCTTAGGATCAGACTCTTTACTTCTTCCACCTCCTCCGATGTTCCTGCTCTGATGTCGTAGTACGCGTAGATTTCTTCATCTTTCGTTTTATGTTCATTCCAACACAGCGTCACAATGGGTTGACTCTCCCCATACTTCTCCATTAAGACTTCTTTTAAGAGCTCTGTAAAACAATAAACATCAAAGTCTGATGGTAAATTATCAGGAATCATCAACTTTCCAACTGAACAGTTCTTTAAATAATTCACAGTTTGGTCAAACAGTTTTTTAGTAAGACTAACTGCTTCCCACATTTTTTCCAATGAATCTGCATGGACCATCACGTAGGGTTGCTTGGCACCTCGGGGGGAATATGTAATCCTTGTACCCGTTGCTGCTCCAATAGCCTTAATGTTGTCATGTCCTCTGTGTGTTAAGGCCCGGATTAGAATCAGTGCTGGTGTTTCTCTTGTGAAGGGGAGGTGCAGTCTTTTATTACAAGCATGTTTCTGTATGCCCGTTTCTACTGTATTCTCCAGCCAAGTCTTGAGAAGTGTCAGGGCCTCTCTAGCCTTCTCTTTATCTTTGGAGTGTACGGTCACACTTAAAGTGTCCTCTGACCTGACCAATCGGAATCCACAGCCGGTCTGCAGAGTCAGAGCTGGTATACCCTTCATTAAGTACACAACCAAATGTTCATTGCATGAAGGTATATTAGTTTTCACAGATAAACATTCCTGATTGATACTGTTTTTAAAGTACACCGGCAGCTTACGCTCTACATCTTTTAAATCAAGTCCTGTTAAATTTCCTGGCGAGGAGTAAAAATGCACCTTTGGAATGACCATCAAACCTCTTACCGAGTCAAATCTGCATTAAAAAGAAACAAATGAATTTAAGTCATCATCACATACAGTGATACTGTAGATGTACTTTTTTCCACAGGGTAATAATTCCGCGGAATCTCAATTTCTGTTTGATTTCTCATACTGTCACTATATGACTTGCATTAATATATTAAGTACACTTTGACAAATTTACATGGAAAATTTGTGACCGTGCACATAGCGTAAATTAATACCATGCAGAAAAAAGTACTTCTACAGTAATATAACCTCTGGTTGTATAAGATACATTCTACTAAAGCGGGCTGGTGTGTTAATCCTTAATTTTGAGCTCAATCGGTACAATACCATGAATACTGGAAAGCCAAAAGGATCCGACATATCTTATAGCTAGTTAATCTGACTTGGTTCTATCTTACACACTGGTGCATTAGCTGCAGATCTGTAGCTCATCTCTGTCTGAAAAAAATTGTGATGGACGACCAGAGAGCTACAGCAATGTACAGTGCCACCCATAGCAAAAACTGTAAGTACCATCTTTATTGCACACAAAAAATTGCACTTGGCTCTGAATTAATTTATCCAAATTCTTACCTCTATTGCCAAAAAATATAGATATCGTATATAGATATCGTTAAAATAATTCCTTACTCCTCTGTAAAGTACTCTTGTACTTGACATCTGAAGCATCTAAAACAGCAGTAAATATAGGCAATATTTCTGATGGCCTGAATTTCAGGGCCAGGAGGGCTATTAAGGTAAGTCACTCGTCAGCTTTTTAGAAAAGTTCACGCAGAACCTCTAACTTCAAAAATATTTATTAGAATTCAATTTTTATAAAATAATTATATTCAACGATGTATATTTTTTAACAATCAAAGAAAAAACTGCTCAAAAATCTTCAAAGAATCAAGATTTATTAGGGACTATTTTTTGTGGTGGAAGGATATTTAGCAGAAATTTCTGCAAATCTGCACATTTATCAAATTTAATGTCTAGAAACTTAAGCCTCACATACTTTTACTCGGAGAATATTTTCCTTTATGATATTGATAGGAATATTTGATACAGGTCTTAATTTATATTTTTAGAACAAGTTTTACATCTTCCTTCAACAAACTTTGCCAAAAACTTGAGATATATCAAAGAAGTCAAGATAAAATTTACACCATTTTTTGCCTGAAAATCATATATTTTGTCCAATATTTCAAAATTAACATCACTGACCCCAACCTTTTCTTTCATTATTTTAAACTACTCGATATTTATGACTGATCAGCACTTAATTCATACAAAGCTTGATATAAGAAAATATTATATTGCCTATTTATTTTTCTAATACCCAAAATATGTTATGTTTTAGTGCAAAAAGGTCACATAATTATTTACGTGCATTAATTTGCAAGATTTGATCAATGATAAATATTATTCAAACTATTTTACGTAAAGTAAGAATAAATTTATTGCCATGGTTACAGCTGATAAAATATAATAAGAGATAATTGTATAAAAGTATTAAATTAAAGGGTTAAAATTTAAGTGCAAAAAGGTCAAATTAATTGTACCTTAGATCAGTAAGATGCACACTGACCCCCTATTTTCTCTGCGGTTTTGAGTCACACTTTATGAGTACTTATCCAAAATATACTTCTCAAAAAATCCTTTATATAAGAAATTTGAGGAGTGACTTACCTTAACAACAATTATAAGTAAAGATTTGTTGTTGAAACAGTGAAAATATAAGCTATAGAAATACATGGTTAGCTTAAAGTTTTGTTGTGGAAACAGTAAAAATATATGTTAGAAAAACACACGCCTGACACAGTTAGCTGAAAGTTTTAAAAACATAGAGATACATGGAGAAATAAATCGACAAACAGTACGTGATTTTTAGCTCACCTTGAAGAAGTCAAGATGAGCTAATGCTATACCCCAAGCGTTGGCATAAGTGTCAGCATCCCGGTTCAAGTTTTAGGAGCAGGTCCATTCCCAAGTAATTAAAAGCCCTACCCAAACCAAACTTGCATGGATGATGCATCTAGGGATGGACACTACCAGACTTGCTTCGGATGCTGAATCTGACCTACATTTTCCAGATGAGTGACCATGATGACCAGGTTAGAGTTTTTGGAGCAAGTCCATTCCCAAATAACTATAAGCCCTACCTGGACCAAACTTGCATGGATGATGCATCTAGGGATGGACAATCGAAACTTGCTTTGGATGCTGGATCTGACCTAATCCGAGATTCCTCTGACTCTAACCCCATCATTTTCAAAAGGAATGCCCTGAGGTTAAAGTTTTTGGAACTATTAAAACAGAACTTACTTGAATACTGTTGTCAGGATAAATACTAACTGTTAAGAAAATATGTAAGATTTGCACATATTCGTTGAGGTGAGCTTAGTAATCTTTGATTACCTATGTTCTTTGTGAGCAATAAATATACATTTTTTTAAATGGGTAGCACGGTAAAGCCCTCCGGTCTGTCAATTTTTTTTTTCAGAGAGCTACAGTTATGCAGCACTGGTGCATTATAATATAAACATGATATGGAAGAGTTGGTATTATATTGTGGCTTATCTGCTTGTGTGGAACTTATTATTGGGGGGAGGGGGTCCAATTTGCACTGCACTATAGGCCTACAAAAGCCAAGAGTCTGGGTCTTTTGATCTGTTGGTGATTAAGGAATAAATGGATAAAGTTATAATGTAATACGTCTCTGGTAATTGTGATGTTATTATTATGACAAATGAGAAAATTCGAACTAATTTCATCACACGTGTTATTTTGACTTTTGTGAAAGCATGACAAATAGGCCTACAACCCATAAAATATGCTGCCTTACCTCTCTTCAAAGATCTTCCTGCGCAAGGCACCTTGAATCAACAACAATGATCTTGACAATATTATACGGACCATCTCATCTCACACTCACACTCGACTCTGAATCATGTGTTTATTTTATTAATCGGGAACCAGTTTATCAGATTTTTTTTTTTTTTTTTTTTTTTTTGCTTTTTATAGGGGCGGATCCAGGTTGGTGCGATACATGATAACGTCTTTTAAAGTTCTTTTTAAAAAATATTATTTTACTTTATTTTATATTTTATCTAATTCGTTTTTGTTTTTGAAAAAAGTTATATGCTTAATTTTGATTTTTGAGATAATCTGAAAAGGGCGATAACTCTCCCTTAAAAAAGAAAAAACAGGGGGCGCTTTAATCTGTTGATGATGCAGCTAGTGAGCAAATGGAGAAAGTATCACAAGTTGATCAAATAACTTTTGGCAGATTGAAATTGAAAGTTAGAAAATACTGTGATGTTATGAACAAGGTAAAACTTCAATTCTTAGCAATGTTGCAATAACTGAATAAGAACTATATTTAGTTTGGTTTGTAGCAGTATTTCTTGGGTTATTTTAAAGCAGCACAGCAGGCTATCTGATTGTGTTTTGTGAGTCATTGAGCCCAAACAATACCCTACCTTTTAAGATGTTTGGGCGTTATTCCTGATGAGTTTACAGAAAAATAGATTTTCATGAGAACGTTTGCACATACCTTGAAAATAAGAGAACTTGATAAGAGAACTTTTGTGTCCAATTTTTGGGTCACAGTGGTGGTGAGCCCTTACCCCAACCCCCAACTTTTCATACCCTTACTGTCCCTATCCTTTTTAAGATTCCTGGATCGGTCACTGATTGCATTTTCACATTGCACGAGCTAAATTGAAGACACCCATGCAGATTCAAGATCATGAGGATGCTGGATGGTGTATTTTTAGTTAATTGTGTTTTCCTGTTCAACCTGTTTCTCCGCACTTTCATTTTCACAACCTGTCTGCTTTTCTGCCACTTCTCCATATTGTTTTTCTGCGATTGAACTTTACATTTAATCAATACATGTATTACTTAAGTTAATTGTGTAGTCTGAAATCCTTTTTATAAGGCCTAGAAAAAAATATGTTTGTTTCCGCTTTCCCGACCGACCCTAATTTATAGTGCCGACCCTAAATATTTTTTTAATGCTTTTGTCCCATGATGTGCAAGATTTCAACCAGGGAATTATAGCCTCCAACTTTGCAAGCTTTTCAAGACAGAAAGAAGTTTGGGTCACCTTTTTATTATAAGTTAAGTCACAGTAATGCTTGAAAACACCATTTCTTTTGTCATTAATGTTACTTCTATACACGTATTGATTAAAGAAGCCAAAATATTTTTTTCTAAAAAAAAAAAATTGCCTACCTACCTACCCTATATTTTTTCAGCCTGAAAGCAGAAACAAACATATTTTTTTTCTAGGCCTAAACTTCCAAAAACCCACAATTATGAAAGGGCCAAACAGTCTATGGAAAAGACCTGACGGATGTGCAGTGCCTCTGGTCCGCTTTGTCATTTTTTACACCGGACCAAAATGTCCAATATGTCATACAAGAGGGTTACCTTATTCATTATTTTATTTATTTATTTATTATTATATAAATTGATGTATTTTCAGTGAGCGGTGAGCAGGGACCTGGGTTATGTGTGTTGTGCCTGTAGACAAAGTTTGAGTCACCACCGACTGATAAAGAATGTGGCTGGCTCGGCTGATGGTTTTGGCCCTCTGCTCATCTGACTGTTTTGCTCAAACACAGCAGATTAGTGAGTATAGTTGTTATAGCAGTCAGCTGGTTACTAAAGGAATTTAAATTTTTGTTACAATAGAAGCTAAATAAAAGAGCTATTGCTGCAATGCATTTATTAAACTCAATTTTCAAAATTAATTTTAGGAATGTTTTTGAATTTTGTGTGAATTTTTATAGGTATGAAGAGATCCACAAATTTATGTCCACCATGAAATGTAATTTTTGGCAGCTCTTGCTACTAAACAATCCTCGGTCCACTAAACTAGATCCCTATAAACCTCAAAATATTTTCCTCCACCCATGAAAATTTTACTCAATAAAAAAATCTGTAATTTTTACAGTATATCTTCTTTTTTCTTTCAGTATTCACCCACAGGCGGAGCTGTAGAAGACCTCACTACTACCATGCTGAGAGTCACTACTTGATCCGGGCCAAGGGTCATCTCCCGGGGCGACACTGTAACATGACCTTCCTGGAGTCGGACGTGGGCTGGACGTCCCCCGATCATCAGTGCTTCTCCCTCTGTGTAAGAATTGTCAACGCCTCCATGAGAAGCTGTGATTTCAGAATCACGTATCATGATGGAATTGATGACCGTAATCCAAGGGTGTGTTTCAGAATGTTATATATAGATTTATGTTATCTTTTACTGTTGTATGTGTACTAAAATAGAGGGCTTCATATTTTAGTGGCTTTGGCGGACAAGAATGTGCTTATTCATGAATATGGCTAATAGATCATTATAAAGAATGCAATTAATGGCATGTTTGTGTGTAGAGCTAATTCATTATGATAAATACGCCAACAACTCAATACTTTATATTTTACATGTACCTTAAATTTTACATGTACTTTAAACCAATTATATTTGATTGAGAAATAGCTGCGAGTTTCTTGATCTACTTAAACGCGGGAATACTAGTTGCCAAAAACCATTTATTTTTCTTTGTATTTATAGAGAAAGTCTCCACAGTCATGAAAATTAATCATTATTGTGGATTGATTTCAAACTTACAAATTGCATTTAAAATATGATACAAATGAAAAAATGGTTTACAGTATCACTCTCAGCATGCTCAGTTAGATAAGTTTTTTTACTTCATTACAATTGCAGTTAAAGGTAAGCAATTTAATACACTGTATTTAAAAAAGACAGGATGTCATGCACTGAGTTTTAAACAGTTTAAAGAATTGTTAGTCGTAGTTGTCAATGTCTGTATTTTTTATCTTTTTTTGTAGAGCTTTAATTGTAAGAGTTCTCCCCCTTCTTTGTGGTGCTCAAGTTACACGGAGATGACAGTGGAATTCCGCGAGACGGAGACGTACGACAGACGCAGCGGAGAGGGGTACGACCTAACACTGGAGATCAAACCGTACTGTCAGCAGCCAGCTAGCACAGGTATGATATATAACATCACAGACCACGTATAACATATAACATCATGCTAGAGATCAAACCGTACTGTCAGCAGCCTGCTAGCACAGGTTATAAGTACAAATTTAAAGTAACACCCCCTCCCCACCCCCCCACCGCCCCGAAACTATGTAGAGTTTCTGGGAGGTGGGGACTTACAAAAAACTTTTTTTCCATATAATGTTAACCCCTCATAATACCCCACTATCTCATGAGAATTATAGTGTTTAAAGTCACTAAGTGGAAGCAGATATGATTATATTGAGGGTCCAAATTATTTTTTCATCAGCCAGTGAGTATTGACATTTTAAACTAGAGTTGTCTAGCCACTTTCACCCTCCATCTAGAATTCTGCTTACCAACTTTTTAAACAGAAATGTTCTAAAACAAGTAGGTTAAGTTGATGTTAGAATATGAATATTTCAGAGGATGGTATTTATTTTTTTCAGTGCCAGGTGATGCCTATCTGGACCACTATCTTCGTAAGGAGAAGCGAGACCGAGACACCATCATTATCGCGGGCTCCCTGGTCAGCACCATCTGTTTCCTGTTCGTGATTTTCTGGCTAGTCTATTGCTGCTGGAAGAGGGAAGCCCCACAGGAGAGTCACCAAAGGCCCGCAACTCCTGTCTCCCATAGCAACAGCTTCAAGTCTTCAGGGTCAGGTAATCAGGGTCAAGGTCAACTCTCATGTAAAGTGGACAGGGTTGGCAATGCTACAAATCTTTCATAAAATCATTGCAGGAATATGGTATTCTCATGTTAGTTTTGTTACATGTACAAAGGTTGTAATTCAGTCTTCAAAAGACTTGAGAGTTCAGAGTTTTATGAAATTTTTTGCTTGATATATAGATTTTCATTATTCCAATCAGCAATGACTTTTTCTTTGATTTTTTCTTAAAGATTATAAATTTGCATGCTAAACGGAGTAAACTTAAAAATGTGACTAAATGTTTGATACCAGTGTATACCAGGTATTAGGAGAAGTAATATACATGTAGCATAGTTTATTCCCACTTTAGGAAGAAAGGGACCAGGAACCTCGCATTCTTCAAACAGTGACCGAGCAGACGGCAAAAACTGGTACCCCATGACCACGAGATCTCCCCCCAAATACCAGCCCCCAGTGTACAGACCTCAGGGGTGGGATGCACAGGCCAATGCCAGGTAACTAATCACCAGATAATGGAAGAATTTTTTCTTTTCATGAAACATAATCTTGACGCCTACATGTTATGTAATCATATCTTTATTTGGCCCATCTTTGAGTAGTCTTAAAACCTCATTCCTGCTAGACACATGCTCAGTGTAATGTTTAGCTCTCTATATTCCTGAAGAACTTCAATGTTGTGTAACATATCTTAAAACCGTGTTCCTATTAGTCTCTGTAGATACATGCTCAATGTAATGTTTAGCTCTGTATATTCCTGATGAACTGTTATGCCAGACAAGGCTGGTTTACTTGTACTCATCTGCTGGCCACCACTTTGTGGAAATTAGGGTTGTAATTTTTTAGAAACTTATGACTGGGAATTTGTTTTTCTTATTTTGCTCATGCAGATTTTTATTTTTTCCCAAATCTATTTTTCCACTTGTACTTTAGAATATTCAGCTTATTGTAAAACTAAACCTGTTTTAGATTTGACCATTCTGGGTGAAAACTGGAATGGCAAATCTAAAAGATGTAAGAATATTTTGTCTATCAAATTTTAAATTGATGTAATTTCCACTATCAGATACACAGAGCTTCCCGGGACCTCCTACTCTCCACAAAGGGGGATAACTCCAGGCTTCCACTTACGACAGTTTTCCCAGGGAGAGCCGTACAACCCCCTGGCCCCGATCAGGGAACAGCCTCCCACCTACAGACTGACCTTCGAGGTCAGCGAGAGATCACATGACCTGGGAATGCCATTCCATGGACCACCCCCGCTCCCTCCCCGTCCAAATACAGAACAGCCGCAATCAAAGCAGTATTACATATAGTGATTTAATGTTTATTTTAATAACAAAGCCATTTTAAGTTATATTTTTATCACATCTTGCATTTTATCATATATACAAAGATCTACCGAATAACAATTTCTATGTAAAGAATACTCTACAGTAAGCATCAAATATACATTATATCCATTGACTTATTTTGTGTCCAAATTTAGAACATCCCTTATCAAACAGTTTTATGTTATTGATATGCTTTAGTTGATATAGGTACAATGTATTTTTTTAATTGTTCAAGATTAGCAAAATTAATCAAGATATTGATTTAATTATAATTAAGACTGAAAGGTAGTCACTAGTTATTAGAGATAGAGAGTCTTACTCAGGAAGAGGGGTTTACATGTATTTTTCATGCATATAAAATGTTAAAGATCCAGTTATGTTAAAACACGATCTCAATGAACTTGAAAGGACTATAGCTATCACATTATTAATCGGCCAGTTCTACAGGCATTGTTAAACATTCAATTTAAATTTAATTTTTGCATCAAATTTCATTCAAATTCGAATCGAAAAGTTTGAATATGCAATAAAATCCAATGTGTTCATTCATATATTGATCCTCATTAGAAAAGCTTGGCATGGTGCTAATACTGTTGTACTTCTAATTTCATTCTGAATTTTACAATCTTTTTAAATAAAAAAATGTTATCCTTACTAACTGCCCTTAATGAATATACATTACTGTTGTATATGCATGAATAAGTATTGTGAATTTATGATTGTGATACATACAATATTATAGTAGTACTTTTTATTAATATTTTTGTTTTTAATATTGGTTGTTTGGAGGACAACACAATGTTCAAATTCACTGTATGAAAAAATTAAATAACAAGGATACCTTGACAGTTTACTGTTTATATCCATTTTGTTTTTTTGTTTTTTTTGAATTGGAGATACATGCTTTAAGTTAACTACATGTAGAATGTATGTAACATATTACATATGTGATACATGTAGGACTATTTATATATAGATATTTATCTACGGGTTTGTTTTCTTTACTTTTTTTATTGATCGAGTCACTTTATATATATTTTTAGCAGATCCCCTGTTTTTGTTTGTTTTACTGTTAAGGTTGTAGAGGTTTTGTTTAAAAGTATTTGTAGAATATAAAAGGATGATAATTATAACCATGCATGAACATGTATATTGATACATTCTCAATTTACATGAGCTTAATACCTGTATTTATTAATAAAGACTTTTTGTTTTACTTCCTTCCACAATCAATATCCATTGTACATGTGTATTGACTTTTTAAATATCTAAAATTCACAACTAGCAGTCATGTCCAAAGAATTAATGATAGAATTGTTAATATTCTATCTAGGTCAGAAATAAAAAGAGCGAGGAGATATCCATTTCAATACATCTGTATAGAGAGGTACAGTCCAGTCTCTGTCAATTTTGTCTGATCAGAATTGAAATGGTAGAGAATATTTTTGTATCTGTATCTTAAATGTGTTTTTTATGCAAACATAAGTCTACCTCTTTCAAAGAATGGAAATTGTTTTATTGTCAATTATTTATAAATATTTGCTATGGATAGTTATTTAGACTTATTTAGATACTGTAGACCAACTTTTATTTGATTGCATGAAATATCTGCAGGTTTTGTGACCTATTTTACCCTGTGAATACAATTTTTCTATTTTGCTTTTACATTGTAAAGAATCTTTCCTCAGTCTAGAAAATTAATGGTCAGAGATGGCTTTCAAACTGAACAATCGCGAATAAATAACAACACAATTAAAAGTTGGTTCACAGTAAACCCTTCCAAAATTTCCAAATTTCTACAGTTTGTTCCACATTTTCCATAAACAAACCATTTATTAGTATTTGTATTATTTAGTTGAATCCTATAATAAGAGACATATTTGTAAACCCTGAAAAAAGGAATATACAGGGACCATAACATTTTTCATAGTTTTCAAATTGTTAGATATGCAGTACTAATTTGTCATACATTTATAGTTAAGAAGTTGACAGATTTTTTGTTGTCAGTGTTTTTTGTAACTTATCTGATCTATCATGTGTAGAAAATTAATTTTTCAATGTGTGCCAAACCTGCTTTTTGACTTTTTTATAACATAAATAATAAATGTATATTAATTAATATAATTTCATTTCTTTTATTTCTGTAGAGATCTTGTAAGATAACAACACCTGGGTAACCAATAGAAAAATTATTGATAATTTCAGTAATATGTATGCTAAACACTGGGACATATGTGCTAACTACTGGTATATGTGTGCTAATACTGGTACTTGTGTCTGCTGACTATTGGTATATGTGTATACTGACTACTGGTACATGTGTGTATAATTACATGTGTATACACATGTACATGTGTATTAACTACTGGTACATGTGTATGCTGACTACTGGTACATGTGTATACTGTCTACTGGTACATTTGTATACTGACTACTGGTACATGTGTATACTGACTACTGGTACATGTGTATATTGACTACTGGTACATGTGTATACTGTCTATTGGTACATGTGTATACTGACTACTGGTACATGTGTATACTGTCTACTGGTACATGTGTATATTGACTACTGGTACATGTGTATATTGTCTACTGGTACATGTGTATACTGACTACTGGTACATGTGTATGCTGACTACTGGTACATGTGTATGCTGACTACTGGTACATGTGTATACTGTCTACTGGTACATGTGTATACTGTCTACTGGTACATGTGTATACTGTCTACTGGTACATGTGTATACTGTCTACTGGTACATGTGTATACTGACTACTGGTACATGTGTATACTGACTACTGGTACATGTGTATACTGTCTACTGGTACATGTGTATACTGACTACTGGTACATGTGTATACTGACTACTGGTACATGTGTATACTGACTACTAGAACATGTGTATACTGACTACTTGTACATGTGTGTACTGACTACTGTTACATGTGTGTACTGACTACTGGTACATGTGTATACTGACTACTTGTACATGTGTATACTGACTACTTGTACATGTGTATGCTGACTACTTGTACATGTGTATATTGACTACTGGTACATGTGTATATTGACTACTGGAACATGTGTATATTGACTACTGGTACATGTGTATACTGACTACTGGTACATGTGTATGCTGACTACTGGTACATGTGTATACTGTCTACTGGTACATGTGTATGCTGACTACTGGTACATGTGTATGCTGACTACTGATAAATGTGTATACTGACTACTGTTACAGGTGTGTACTGACTACTGGTACATGTTTATACTGTCTACTGGTACATGTGTATATTGACTACTGGTACGTGTGTATACTGTCTACTTGTACATGTGTATGCTGACTACTGGTACATGTGTATACTGTCTACTGGTACATGTGTATACTGTCTACTGGTACATGTGTATACTGTCTACTGGTACATGTGTATACTGTCTACTGGTACATGTGTATACTGTCTACTGGTACATGTGTATATTGACTACTGGTACGTGTGTATACTGTCTACTTGTACATGTGTATGCTGACTACTGGTACATGTGTATACTGACTACTTGTACATGTGTATAAAAACTACTGTACATGTGTATACTGTCTACTTGTACATGTGACCTGACTACTGGTACATGTGTATACTCAAAATACTTGTAATGCTGACTACTTGTACATGTGTATATTGACTACTGGTACATGTGTATATATTTTACATGTGTATACTGACTACTGGTACATTTGTGTACTGACTACTGGTACATGTGTATATTGATTACTGGTACATGTGTATGCTGACTACTGGTACATGTGTATGCTGACTACTGGTACATGTGTATGCTGACTACTGGTACATGTGTATACTGTCTACTGGTACAATTATACTGTCCTGGTACATATGCATACTGTCTTTTACATGTGTATACTGACTACTGGTATGTGTGTATACTGTCTACTTGTACATGTATACTGACTACTGGTAATGGACTGTCTTGGTACATGTGTATGTGACTACTGGTACATATTGTCTACTGGTACCTGTGTAACTGACTACTGGTATGTGTGTATACTGTCTACTTGTACATGTGTATGCTGACTACTGGTACATGTGTATTATCTACTGGTACATGTGTATACTGTCTACTGGTACATGTGTATACTGTCTACTTGTACATGTGTATATTGACTACTGGTACATGTGTATACTGTCTACTTGTACATGTGTATACTGTCTACTGGTACATATTTGACTGTTTATGGTACATTTGTGTACTGACTACTGGTACATGTGTATACTGACTACTGGTACATTTGTGTACTGACTACTGGTACATGCGTATACTGACTACTACGTGTGAGTTGTTAGAAAATGTCATCACCGCCCTGAACCAAAATTGTAAAAACAGTCAAGATCTTTGAGATTATGACGCTTGACCTGTGAACATTCAAAATGAGGAAATCAATGCCATATATTTACAATTGGTAATTTTATCCAGGGCACAAAGAAACATTGGAAATGCCCGTTATGCATAAATTATCCCATGTTTCCCAGTATCGTTCATGTCCCTGGCATACTATACTAACTAGACAGTGATTCCTTATATTTCCATTTCATTGTGAAATAAAATTGTAGATTTAGACTTTAAAAATGCAGACATAGATTTAAATTACACGAGGATTCCCATCCCAATTTCAATAGTCCTCGCCCACTGACGTCAAACACAACAGCAGCCGCACGAGATTTACATGCATATTTGGCCTCCTTAGCGTCAGACTCAGAGACAGATGCGCACGAGATTTGCATGCATATTAGGCCTCCTTAGCTCCTGACCTATTGACCTGCCTAATTTACATTCTGGTAGAATTATCAAGAAATTAACTCCGCTAACTTTCAAAGAGTTATCACAGAGAGAAAAATTAGAAATGGAAATATATAGGGAGTAATTGGGTAAATTTCATTGCAAAAGCTCGAAGCCTTCTTGAAATATCGTGTGGAAACGAATTTGAACGTTATACAGACAGACATAACTACAGACAGTTAGATAGACGGACGGATCCACAGACGAAATTAAATCTCCGATTTTCAGCGAGGACAATTGATAGGGAATTTACGTTTTGTCCCTTTATTTAAAACAATAGAATGATATAGAATGGAAATAAACATGGTATGCAAACACATCATTCAAACAAGTTTTTAGTGCTACAGACCGATTTTACTTCATTAATCTTCATTATGCATATTCTGAAGTTCATTTCGTTGGGGAATGTTTATGATTTTAATTTATAAATATGATTTTCATTTGTATTGTTTTATTAAATTTATTACATTTGTCATTGTCAACAAAGGTATGTGAATTATACTGTTTTATAAATCAGTCAAACGATCCATGGATGCGCCTGTTCCGCGCCCGTATTGTATACAAGTCTTATGATCCGCCTCGTAACAGCCGTGGGCTAGAGAGGAATTTCCCTCCGCGCGTCAATGTTTACATTCCAGTGACGACGGTTGAGGGGTGTACACACCAGTCTGTCACGGGCTCAGATTCTCACCGATAACAGGTAACAATTAATTTAAGTCTTCCTATAATATCTACACAAGAAATAGGTTTTAAAACTCCGACATAAATTGTATATTTAATATTCTTTGGTATCGCGATTTTTAGTCAAGTTTCACATGTTTCAGAACATTGGTTTTAAAAGCGCGGGAAAATTATATAAGTATGTCACTTGCTTTATACAAGTCGAATGCAGGACAAAGGATGTACTGTGTATATATATTAATAATAATAATGCTGTATGTTACAAAAGCATGTGATATTTTTACAAAGCAAGGAAACAGAAGCTCTACCTAAAGTAGCCAGGTTCTTCGCTGAACTTACTACATAAAGTTTTCCTTGGTAGCAATATCTCGGTCAAGCATGCAGTTTATAACATTTTATCAATAGGCCACGCACATATCAGATCAGTACTAGTATACACTCTACGTATACCGCTTGAAAATTATGGCACAGCGGAACGTACATGTACTCTACTTGATAGTATTTGAAAGTAAAAAAGGGATACAAAAAGATTTAATTATGTGGGAGGAGGGAGGGGTTCACGTTTGCAATTTCTCTCTTTCAAGAAATCACAGGGGCTTGCTCCCGGCGTATAATAATTATTTATTAAAAAATCATATACCGTAATAATAAAACTACAAAATCATATGTATACCGTAATA